CGGGTGATCTGACTGGTTCAATTATACCCCTCCACATACGGGTCACACATTTCGATGAATAACATGGTTGTTTAATGTCTTGATTATAATTCAACCAGCTTGGCTGACGCGCACTACTGCGCGCATGGTTGAACCTATGGTAATGGTACTGATCGCTGACAGGATTCCTGTATTGACCCCGAACACTTCGCCCGATTACAATTTTTTAGAATACGGCCTATTTCATTATGTTTCTCCTATTTAATGAACGTTTGCTAATGTCTGGTGCTTATCACATTTCTAAGAAACACTCACCATCCGTTGGAAATAGGACAGCTTAGCGGTTGAAAGACTTTCGATGGTAATAACATCGATATCATGGTGAATATCCTCACATTTCTCACATCCTAGTACTTCCGTTGAGCAGCTTCCAGGGCTTTTAATTTTCGTCGAAACTCGAGAGCTTAGCGGTCGTAACCATATCGCTAAGGGATAGAATAACTTGACTCACTAAGCCTCTGACCATTGTTTCTTGGGCACCGGTGCTGAAGTTCAGGCTGAGCAGAGTAAGGATGCGAACAGATACTGATCCTTATGAGCCTCACACTATATCACAACTTATCTCCCTTCACCAATGTTCCTTAACCCCTTCTGAATGACTTGCTAGAAACAGTTCCCAAGTGTTGCTACAACTCGTGCTATGAACTTCGGGGGCACCCTCTTTCAAAAAGGTCCTCTGGTACCTTATCAGCTGTTATCACGTCCTGCCACCCACCAATAATGTTCCCATCCTGCCCCCTATCTAACTTCTTGGAACCCACATCCCGTCGTCGCTGTGGTCCGCGCTATGGAGCTGGTGACCCTTCCTTTTTAAGGCCCCTTGTGGTATCTTATCAGCTGTTATCACTTCCTGTCACCCACCAATAATGTTCCCATCCTGCCCCCTATCTAACTTCTTGAAACCAACGTCCCATCGCTGCTGTGGCCGGTGTTATGAATTAAAGGACCCCCTTCTAAGGCTCCTTATGGTATCCTTATTAGCTGTTATCACTTCCTGCCACCCACACACCCCTCCGCATCACTTATAAGTTTGGAGCGCGTTATCGCTTATTCTGAAAAAAGTTAATGAATTATCCGGTCAGTACACACCTACAAACCCAACAACACAGCACACGCACACAACACAACACACCACACACACACACACCACACATCCACATACACACACACTAACAAACAAACGTAGCGAACTATATATACATAGTAGGATGCTTTTGTGTTATGAATCATGTGGATAGAAGGTCGGATGATGAAGCTGTGTTAATTGTCTACTGCACTCCTGCCACTTCGAGACCACCAAAACTTCACTGGATTATGATGGAGCACATACCCCTGAGAAACGATTGTGTGCATCGTAGTACCTGTAGGGACTTGGTCTTTACAAGTGGTGAATACGGTGAATCAGGGAAAGGAAACAGTAGAGGTAAGGCTTTATATACACCTTGCGACGCTTGCGACGATTGCGGTGATTATGCTGCAATGAATGTACACATATGATTCGACGTAGGACATCGTTCACACTCCGCAATGGCGCGCGTTGACACGCTACCATTACGATACCACTCCGTACACAGGTATAAATCGGCACTGGCAGCTGATGTTCTGAGATAGCATACAGGGGCCAATAAAAAAGTCACTTTTCTTCCTTGACTTTCGAGGCGCTATAAGTTACACTTTATCAAATTCTGATCGGACATTTCCACCACCATATTGAAGAGCATATCAAATACTATCATGACACTCCGCCACAGCCTTCTGGACGAGCGCCATCGAGAGATTCTGGCACGCGACCGCGATGTGGTGCCTGAGATCAGCGAGATAGTCGATTTCTCCGCCACCGTAGACCACCCTATTGAACTCCGCCCGAACCGGGTAATTGAGGGGATTCAGGTCAGGTGACCTACTTGGATATTCCATCTTCTTCAGGTACTCAACCCTTCTATTCCAAGTAGGCGAGAGTTTTTGCTATCCATGGGTGACTCCACACTAGAAGTTTCGCAGCTGTTTGGAGGTGACGTGAATTCCAAAGGTCTTCTCCAGTCAGGCTGCGACTGGAGATGACTTCATATTTTGGTGTACATGAAGTTGATGGGCAAGAGTTGAGATAAGAGCAGGAGTTGGCAAGAGCCAGCTCCTGCTTATCGAGGAACATCTTGGGTATCTTCCGCCCTGGTACTCGTATCCACGTCCTCTGTCTGGGCTGCGAAAACTTTGCTGATATGTGTGACTTAGTCAAAGTGACTTTTTTTTGCCCCTCCCCTGTATACTACAGTCTAAACAAACAATATGTATCCAT